TGAGGGTGGTGGTGAGAGTGGTGAGGGTGGTGAGGGTGAGTGGTGAGGGTGAGTGGTGAGGGTGAGTGGTGGTGGTGAGGGTGAGTGGTGGTGAGGGTGAGTGGTGAGGGTGAGTGGTGGTGAGGGTGATGAGGGTGGTGGTGAGAGTGGTGAGGGTGGTGAGGGTGAGTGGTGGTGGTGAGGGTGAGTGGTGGTGGTGGTGAGGGTGAGTGGTGGTGAGGGTGAGTGGTGGTGGTGAGGGTGAGTGGTGGTGGTGAGGGTGAGTGGTGGTGGTGGTGGTGAGTGGTGGTGGTGAGGGTGAGTGTTTGTGAGTGGTGGTGAGGGTGGTGGTGAGGGTGAGTGGTGGTGAGGGTGAGTGGTGGTGGTGAGGGTGAGTGGTGGTGGTGAGGGTGAGTGGTGGTGGTGAGGGTGAGTGGTGGTGGTGAGGGTGAGTGGTGGTGGTGAGGGTGAGTGGTGGTGGTGGTGAGGGTGAGTGGTGGTGGTGAGGGTGAGTGGTGGTGGTGGTGAGGGTGAGTGGTGGTGAGGGTGAGTGGTGGTGGTGAGGGTGAGTGGAGGTGAGGGTGAGTGGTGGTGGTGAGGGTGAGTGGTGGTGGTGAGGGTGAGTGGTGGTGGTGGTGAGGGTGAGTGGTGGTGAGGGTGAGTGGTGGTGGTGAGGGTGAGTGGTGGTGGTGAGGGTGAGTGGTGGTGAGGGTGAGTGGAGGTGAGGGTGAGTGGTGGTGGTGAGGGTGAGTGGTGGTGAGGGTGAGTGGAGGTGAGGGTGAGTGGTGGTGGTGAGGGTGAGTGGTGGTGGTGAGGGTGAGTGGTGGTGGTGGTGGTGAGTGGTGGTGGTGGTGAGGGTGAGTGGTGGTGGTGGTGGTGAGGGTGAGTGGTGGTGGTGAGGGTGAGTGGTGGTGGTGGTGAGGGTGAGTGGTGGTGGTGAGGGTGAGTGGTGGTGAGGGTGAGTGGTGGTGGTGAGGGTGAGTGGTGGTGGTGAGTGGTGGTGGTGGTGAGGGTGAGTGGTGGTGGTGAGGGTGAGTGGTGGTGGTGAGGGTGAGTGGTGGTGGTGAGGGTGAGTGGTGGTGGTGAGGGTGAGTGGTGGTGGTGGTGGTGAGTGGTGGTGGTGAGGGTGGTGGTGAGAGTGGTGAGGGTGAGTGGTGGTAGTGGTGAGGGTGGTGAGTGGTGGTGAGGGTGAGTGGTGGTGGTGAGGGTGAGTGGTGGTGGTGGTGAGGGTGGTGATGGTGAGGGTGAGTGGTGATGGTGAGGGTGAGTGGTGGTGGTGAGGGTGAGTGGTGGTGGTGAGGGTGAGTGGAGGTGGTGGTGGTGAGGGTGAGTGGTGGTGAGGGTGAGTGGAGGTGAGGGTGAGTGGTGGTGGTGGTGGTGAGTGGTGGTGGTGAGGGTGAGTGGTGGTGAGGGTGAGTGGTGGTGGTGAGGGTGAGTGGTGGTGAGGGTGAGTGTTTGTGAGTGGTGGTGAGGGTGGTGGTGAGGGTGAGTGATGGTGGTGGTGAGGGTGAGTGGTGATGGTGAGGGTGGTGAGGGTGAGTGGTGGTGATGAGGGTGGTGGTGAGAGTGGTGAGGGTGGTGAGTGGTGGTGAGGGTGAGTGGTGGTGAGGGTGAATGGTGGTGGTCAGGGTGAGTGGTGGTGAGGGTGAGTGGTGGTGAGTGGTGGTGGTGAGGGGAGGTGGTGGTGAGGGTGAGTGGTGGTGGTGAGGGTGAGTGGTGGTGGTGGTCAGGGTGAGTGGTGGTGAGGGTGAGTGTTGGTGAGTGGTGGTGGTGAGGGTGAGTGGAGGTAGTGGTGAGGGTGAGTGGTGGTGGTGATGGTGAGGCTGAGTGGTGAGGGTGAGTGGTGGTGGTAAGGGTGAGTGGTGGTGGTGAGGGTGAGTGTTGGTGAGTGGTGGTGGTGAGGGTGAGTGGTGGTGGTGATGGTGAGGCTGAGTGGTGAGGGTGAGTGGTGGTGGTAAGGGTGAGTGTTGGTGAGTGGTGGTGGTGAGGGTGAGTGGTGGTGGTGAGGGTGAGTGTTGGTGAGTGGTGGTGGTGAGGGTGAGTGGTGGTGGTGGTGAGGCTGAGTGGTGAGGGTGAGTGGTGGTGAGGGTGAGTGTTTGTGAGTGGTGGTGAGTGGTGAGGGTGAGTGGTGAGTAACTCCTCCTCACCACTGAAGTTGATGTTTGCCGGAGTGGTGAGTGGTGATGGTGAGGGTGAGTGTTGGTGGTGAGTGGTGAGTGAGTCGTCCTCACCACTGAAGTTGATGTTTTTGAGTGGTGGTGGTGAGTGTTTGTGAGTGTTGGTGGTGGTGAGTGTTTGTGAGTGGTGGTGGTGGTGGTGAGTGTTTGTGAGTGGTGGTGGTGAGTGTTTGTGAGTGGTGGTGGTGGTGGTGAGTGTTTGTGAGTGGTGGTGAGTGTTTGTGAGTGGTGGTGGTGGTGAGTGTTGGTGGTGGTGGTGAGTGTTTGTGAGTGGTGGTGGTGGTGAGTGGTGGTGGTAGTGAGTGTTTGTGAGTGGTGGTGGTGAGTGTTTGTGAGTGGTGGTGGTGGTGAGCGTTTGTGAGTGTTGGTGGTGGTGAGTGTTTGCGAGTGTTGGTGGTGAGTGGTGAGTGGTGAGTGTTGGTGATGGTGGTGAGTGTTGGTGGTGAGTAACTCGCCCTCACCACTTAAGTTGATGTTTGTGAGTGTTGATGGTGATGGTGGTGATGGTGAGTGATGGTGAGTGGTGAGTGTTGATGGTGATGGTGGTGATGGTGAGTGATGGTGAGTGGTGAGTGTTGATGGTGATGGTGGTGAGTGGTGAGTGTTGATGGTGAGTGGTGGAGTAATGGTGAGTAACCTCTTCCTCACCACTGAAGTTGATGTTTGTGAGTGGTGAGTGTTTGTGAGTGGTGAGTGATGGTGGTGAGTGTTGATGGTGAGTGAGTGGTGAGTGGTGAGTGAGTGAGTGAGTGGTGAGTGTTGATGGTGAGTAATGGTGAGTAAACTGGTCCTCACCACTGAAGTTGATGTTTGTGAGTGTATGTGAGTGTTTGTGAGTGGTGAGTGATGGTGGTGAGTGTTGATGGTGAGTGAGTGGTGAGTGAGTGGTGAGTGAGTGGTGAGTAAACTGGTCCTCACCACTGAAGTTGATGTTTGTGAGTGGTGAGTGAGTGGTGAGTGAGTGGTGAGTGAGTGGTGAGTAAACTCGTCCTCACCACTGAAGTTGATGTTTGTGAGTGATGGTGAGTGTTGATGGTGAGTGAGTGGTGAGTGAGTGGTGAGTAAACTGGTCCTCACCACTGAAGTTGATGTTTGTGAGTGGTGAGTGAGTGGTGAGTGAGTGGTGAGTGTTGATGGTGAGTGAGTGGTGAGTAAACTGGTCCTCACCACTGAAGTTGATGTTTGTGAGTGTTGATGGTGATGGTGGTGATGGTGAGTGATGGTGAGTGGTGAGTGTTGATGGTGAGTGAGTGGTGAGTGAGTGAGTGAGTGTGAGTGGTGGTGTTGGTGGTGAGTGTGAGTGAGTGAGTGGTGAGTGAGTGGTGAGTGAGTGGTGAGTGGTGAGTGAGTGAGTGGTGAGTGAGTGAGTGGTGAGTGAGTGGTGAGTGAGTGGTGAGTGGTGAGTAAACTCGTCCTCACCACTGAAGTTGATGTTTGTGAGTGATGGTGAGTGAGTGGTGAGTGAGTGGTGAGTGAGTGAGTGAGTGGTGAGTAAACTGGTCCTCACCACTGAAGTTGATGTTTGTGAGTGGTGAGTGAGTGGTGAGTGAGTGGTGAGTGTTGATGGTGAGTGAGTGGTGAGTGAGTGGTGAGTGAGTGGTGAGTGTTGATGGTGAGTGAGTGGTGAGTGAGTGGTGAGTGAGTGGTGAGTGAGTGGTGAGTGAGTGGTGAGTGTTTATGGTGAGTAATGGTGAGTAAACTGGTCCTCACCACTGAAGTTGATGTTTGTGAGTGTGAGTGTATGTGAGTGTTTGTGAGTGGTGAGTGAGTGGTGAGTGAGTGGTGAGTGAGTGGTGAGTGTTGATGGTGAGTGAGTGGTGAGTGAGTGGTGAGTGTTGATGGTGAGTGAGTGGTGAGTGAGTGGTGAGTGAGTGGTGAGTAAACTGGTCCTCACCACTGAAGTTGATGTTTGTGAGTGGTGAGTGTATGTGAGTGGTGAGTGAGTGGTGAGTGTTGATGGTGAGTGAGTGGTGAGTAAACTGGTCCTCACCACTGAAGTTGATGTTTGTGAGTGGTGAGTGAGTGGTGAGTGAGTGGTGAGTGTTGATGGTGAGTGAGTGGTGAGTGAGTGGTGAGTGAGTGGTGAGTGAGTGGTGAGTGTTGATGGTGAGTAATGGTGAGTAAACTGGTCCTCACCACTGAAGTTGATGTTTGTGAGTGTGAGTGTATGTGAGTGTTTGTGAGTGGTGAGTGAGTGGTGAGTGAGTGGTGAGTGAGTGGTGAGTGAGTGGTGAGTGTTGATGGTGAGTGAGTGGTGAGTGAGTGGTGAGTGTTGATGGTGAGTGTTGATGGTGAGTGAGTGGTGAGTGATTGGTGAGTGAGTGGTGAGTGAGTGGTGAGTAAACTGGTCCTCACCACTGAAGTTGATGTTTGTGAGTGGTGAGTGTTTGTGAGTGGTGAGTGAGTGGTGAGTGTTGATGGTGAGTGAGTGGTGAGTAAACTGGTCCTCACCACTGAAGTTGATGTTTGTGAGTGTGAGTGTATGTGAGTGTTTGTGAGTGGTGAGTATTGATGGTGAGTGAGTGGTGAGTAAACTGGTCCTCACCACTGAAGTTGATGTTTGTGAGTGGTGAGTGTTTGTGAGTGGTGAGTGATGGTGGTGAGTGTTGATGGTGAGTGAGTGGTGAGTGAGTGGTGAGTGAGTGGTGAGTAAACTGGTCCTCACCACTGAAGTTGATGTTTGTGAGTGTGAGTGTATGTGAGTGTTTGTGAGTGGTGAGTGAGTGGTGAGTGAGTGGTGAGTGTTAATGGTGAGTAGTGAGTGAGTGAGTGTATGAGTGAGTGAGTGGTGAGTGAGTAGGTGAGTGAGTAGTGAGTGAGTGGTGAGTGAGTGGTGAGTGAGTGTATGAGTGTATGAGTGAGTGTATGAGTGTATGAGTGAGTGGTGAGTGAGTGGTGAGTGAGTGGTGAGTAAACTGGTCCTCACCACTGAAGTTGATGTTTGCCGGAGTGGCAGACACAGAGCTTGGAGTCCGCCTGGTGCTGCCACTGCCCGGAGTCACGCCTGGAGGTCACGCAGAGGTCACGCAGAGGTCACGCAGAGGTCACGCAGAGGTCATAATGGGGTCAGAGGTCACGCAGGGATGAGTAGGTGAGTGAGTGAGTGGGTGAGTGAGTGGGTGAGTGGGTGGGTGGGTGAGTGAGTGGGTGAGTGAGTGAGTGGGTGGGTGGGTGAGTTGGTGAGTGAGTGGGTGAGTGAGTGGGTGAGTAGGTGAGTGAGTGAGTGGGTGAGTGGGTGAGTAGGTGAGTGGGTGGGTGAGTGGGTGAGTAGGTGAGTGGGTAAGGGGTGGGTGAGTGAGTGGGTGGGTGAGTGAGTGGGTAGGTGAGTGAGTAGGTGAGTAGGTGAGTGAGTGGGTGAGTAGGTGAGTGAGTGGGTAGGTGAGTGAGTAGGTGAGTGAGTGGGTGAGTGGGTGAGTGAGTGGGTGAGTGGGTGGGTGAGTGGGTGAGTGGGTGGATGAGTGGGTGAGTGGGTGAGTGGGTGAGTGGGTAGGTGAGTGAGTAGGTGAGTGAGTGAGTAGGTGAGTGAGTGGGTGAGTGAGTGGGTGAGTGAGTGGGTGAGTGAGTAGGTGAGTAGGTGAGTGAGTGAGTGCGTGGGTGAGTGAGTGGGTGAGTGGGTGGGTGAGTGGGTGAGTGGGTGGGCGAGGGCTGGGTGAGTGAGTGAGTGGGTGAGTGGGTGAGTAGGTGAGTGGGTGAGTAGGTGAGTGAGTAGGTGAGTAGGTGAGTGAGTGGGTGAGTGAGTGGGTGAGTAGGTGAGTGGGTGAGTAGGTGAGTGAGTAGGTGAGTAGGTGAGTGGGTGAGTAGGTGAGTGAGTGTTGCTACTCACCAGGGATGGGGTCACGGAAATGCTCTTTGAACCAGCGGAAGAGCGCGTTCACGGAGGGGAAGATTTGTCCACGGTAGCGGAAGCCGTCAGGAGTCACCGTCACAAACTCCACCCTGCAGACCACAGTGTCAACATCACCACCACATCACCACCACCACGTGACCACGTCACCACCACCACTACTACCACCATCACCACCATCATCACCACCACCACCACATCACCACCACCACCACTACCACCATCACCACCACCACTACCACCACCACTACCACCACCACTACTACTACTACCACCACCACCACTACCACTACTACCAGCACTACCACTACCACCACCACCACCACCACATCACCACCACTACCACCATCACTACCACCACTACTACCATCACCACCACCACTACCACCACCACTACCACCACTACCACCACTACTACCATCACCACCACCACTACCACCACCACTACCACCACCATCACTACCACTACCACCACCATCACCACCACTACCACATCACCACCACCACCACATCACCACCACCACCACCACTACCACCATCACCACCACTACCACTACCATCACCACCACCACCACATCACCACCACCACCACTACCACCATCACCACCACTACCACTACCATCACCACCACCACCACATCACCACCACCACCACTACCACCACCACCACGTCACCACCACCACTACCACTACTACCACCACTACCACCACCACTACCACCACCACCACTACCACCACCACCACCACTACTACCACCACCACCACCACATCACCACCACCACATCACCACCACCACTACCACCGCCACTACCACCACTACTACCATCATCACCACCACTACCACCACTACTACCATCACCACCACTACCACCACCACTACCACCACCACTACCACCACCACTACCACCACCACTACCACCACCATCACGTCACCACCACCACCACTACCACCACCACTACCACCACCACATCACCACCACCACTACCACCACCACCACCACTACCACCACCACCACCACTACCACCACCACCACTACCACCACCACCACCACCATCACCACCACCATCACCACCACCATCACCACCATCACCACCACCATCACCACCATCACCATCACCACCACCACATCACTACCACTACCACCACCACCACCACCACGTTACCACAACAACGTTCGTATACCCACCATGCCTCTCCCCACTACCCCCCCCCCACTATCCCCCTCCCCCCACTGTGCCCCCACTATGCCCCCCACTATGCCCCCCACCTACCAGGGCTTGTTCCTGGGCTGGTAGCCGAGCAGGAACTTGCCGGGGAATTCTGTCGAGGCGGAGATGAGGTAGGGGATCTGTGATGGGCGATCCCTCTTAGCCTTGGCCAGGAGCTCCTCCACGCACTGTGGGGGAGACACTCACTGTTACACTCACTGTTACACTCACTGTTACACTCACTGTTACACTCACTCACTGTTACACTCACTGTTACACTCACTGTTACACTCACTGTTACACTCACTCATACACAGATGAGGTAGGGGATCTGTGATGGGCGATCCCTCTTAGCCTTGGCCAGGAGCTCCTCCACGCACTGTGGGGGAGACACTCACTGTTACACTCACTGTTACACTCACTGTTACACTCACTGTTACACTCACTCACTGTTACACTCACTGTTACACTCACTGTTACACTCACTCACTGTTACACTCACTGTTACACTCACTCACTGTTACACTCACTGTTACACTCACTCACTGTTACACTCACTCACTGTTACACTCACTCACTGTTACACTCACTGTTACACTCACTGTTACACTCACTCACTGTTACACTCACTGTTACACTCACTGTTACACTCACTCACTGTTACACTCACTGTTACACTCACTGTTACACTGTTACACTCACTCACTGTTACACTCACTGTTACACTCACTCACTGTTACACTCACTCACTGTTACACTCACTGTTACACTCACTGTTACACTCACTCACTGTTACACTCACGCACTCATACACAGATGAGGTAGGGGATCTGTGATGGGCGATCCCTCTTAGCCTTGGCCAGGAGCTCCTCCACGCACTGTGGGGGAGACACTCACTGTTACACTCACTGTTACACTCACTGTTACACTCACTGTCACACTCACTCACTGTTACACTCACTGTTACACTCACTCACTGTTACACTCACTGTTACACTCACTCACTGTTACACTCACTGTTACACTCACTGTTACACTCACTGTTACACTCACTGTTACACTCACTGTTACACTCACTCACTGTTACACTCACTGTTACACTCACTGTTACACTCACTCACTGTTACACTCACTCACTGTTACACTCACTGTTACACTCACTCACTGTTACACTCACTCACTGTTACACTCACTCACTGTTACACTCACTGTTACACTCACTCACTGTTACACTCACTCACTCATACACAGATGAGGTAGGGGATCTGTGATGGGCGATCCCTCTTAGCCTTGGCCAGGAGCTCCTCCACGCACTGTGGGGGAGACACTCACTGTTACACTCACTGTTACACTCACTGTTACACTCACTGTTACACTCACTCACTGTTACACTCACTGTTACACTCACTGTTACACTCACTGTTACACTCACTCATACACAGATGAGGTAGGGGATCTGTGATGGGCGATCCCTCTTAGCCTTGGCCAGGAGCTCCTCCACGCACTGTGGGGGAGACACTCACTGTTACACTCACTGTTACACTCACTGTTACACTCACTGTTACACTCACTCACTGTTACACTCACTGTTACACTCACTGTTACACTCACTCACTGTTACACTCACTGTTACACTCACTCACTGTTACACTCACTGTTACACTCACTCACTGTTACACTCACTCACTGTTACACTCACTCACTGTTACACTCACTGTTACACTCACTGTTACACTCACTCACTGTTACACTCACTGTTACACTCACTGTTACACTCACTCACTGTTACACTCACTGTTACACTCACTGTTACACTGTTACACTCACTCACTGTTACACTCACTGTTACACTCACTCACTGTTACACTCACTCACTGTTACACTCACTGTTACACTCACTGTTACACTCACTCACTGTTACACTCACGCACTCATACACAGATGAGGTAGGGGATCTGTGATGGGCGATCCCTCTTAGCCTTGGCCAGGAGCTCCTCCACGCACTGTGGGGGAGACACTCACTGTTACACTCACTGTTACACTCACTGTTACACTCACTGTCACACTCACTCACTGTTACACTCACTGTTACACTCACTCACTGTTACACTCACTGTTACACTCACTCACTGTTACACTCACTGTTACACTCACTGTTACACTCACTGTTACACTCACTGTTACACTCACTCACTGTTACACTCACTGTTACACTCACTGTTACACTCACTCACTGTTACACTCACTCACTGTTACACTCACTGTTACACTCACTCACTGTTACACTCACTCACTGTTACACTCACTCACTGTTACACTCACTGTTACACTCACTGTTACACTCACTCACTGTTACACTCACTGTTACACTCACTGTTACACTGTTACACTCACTCACTGTTACACTCACTGTTACACTCACTGTTACACTCACTGTCACACTCACTCGCTGTTACACTCACTGTTACACTCACTCACTGTTACACTCACTGTTACACTCACTGTTACACTCACTCACTGTTACACTCACTGTTACACTCACTGTTACACTCACTCACTGTTACACTCACTGTTACACTCACTCACTGTTACACTCACTCACTGTTACACTCACTCACTGTTACACTCACTCACTGTTACACTCACTGTTACACTCACTCACTGTTACACTCACTGTTACACTCACTGTTACACTCACTCACTCATACACTCACTGTTACACTCACTCACTGTTACACTCACTCACTCACTGTTACACTCACTCACTCACTGTTACACTCACTGTTACACTCACTGCTACACTCACTGCTACACTCACTGTTACACTCACTGTTACACTCACTCACTGTTACACTCACTCACTGTTACACTCACTGTTACACTCACTCACTGTTACACTCACTGTTACACTTACTCACTGTTACACTAACTCATATACTCACTGTTACACTCACTGTTACACTCACTCACTGTTACACTCACTGTTACACTCACTCATACACTCACTGTTACACTCACTCACTCATACACTCACTGTTACACTCACTCACTCATACACTCACGCACTCAAACACTCACACACTGACTCACTCACACACTCACACACTCATACACTCACACACTCACTCACACATTCACACACTCACTCATACACTCACACACTCACTCATACACTCACTCACCCCCCACTCACCCCTACACCCACTCACCCCCACTCACTCACCCCCACTCAACCTGCGTGTCACCTACACTCACCCCTACTCACCCCCCACTCACTCCTACTCACCCACACACTCACACTGTGTGTGTCACCCACACACTCACACTGTGTGTCACCCACACACTCACACTGTGTGTCACCCACACACTCACACCGTGTGAGTCACCCACACACTCACCCTGTGTGTGACACCCACACACTCACACTGTGTGTGTCACCCACACACTCACACTGTGTGTGTCACCCACACACACTCACACTGTGTGTGTCACCCACACACTCACACTGTGTGTGTCACCCACACACTCACACAGTGTGTGTCACCCACACACTCACACTGTGTGTGACACCCACACACTCACACTGTGTGTGTCACCCACACACTCACACTGTGTGTGTCACCCACACACACTCACACTGTGTGTGTCACCCACACACTCACACAGTGTGTGTCACCCACACACTCACACCGTGTGTGTCACCCACACACTCACACTGTGTGTGTCACCCACACACTCACACTGTGTGTGTCACCCACACACTCACACCGTGTGTGTCACCCACACACTCACACTGTGTGTCACCCACACACTGTGTGTGACACCCACACACTCACACCGTGTGTGTCACCCACACACTCACACTGTGTGAGTCACCCACACACTCACACCGTGTGTGTCACCCACACACTCACACACTGTGTGTCACCCACACACTCACACTGTGTGTGACACCCACACACTCACACTGTGTGTGTCACCCACACACTCACACTGTGTGTGTCACCCACACACACTCACACTGTGTGTGTCACCCACACACTCACACAGTGTGTGTCACCCACACACTCACACCGTGTGTGTCACCCACACACTCACACTGTGTGTGTCACCCACACACTCACACTGTGTGTGTCACCCACACACTCACACCGTGTGTGTCACCCACACACTCACACTGTGTGTCACCCACACACTGTGTGTGACACCCACACACTCACACCGTGTGTGTCACCCACACACTCACACTGTGTGAGTCACCCACACACTCACACCGTGTGTGTCACCCACACACTCACACCGTGTGTGTCACCCACACACTCACACTGTGTGTGTCACCCACACACTCACACTGTGTGTGTCACCCACACACTCACACTGTGTGTGTCACCCACACACTCACACAGTGTGTGTCACCCACACACTCACACTGTGTGTGACACCCACACACTCACACTGTGCGTGTCACCCACACACTCACACTGTGTGTGTCACCCACACACTCACACTGTGTGTGTCACCCACACACTCACCCACACACTCACACAGTGTGTGTCACCCACACACTCACACTGTGTGTGACACCCACACACTCACACTGTGTGTGACACCCACACACTCACACTGTGTGTGTCACCCACACACTCACACTGTGTGTGTCACCCACACACTCACACTGTGTGTGTCACCCACACACCCACACTGTGTGTGTCACCCACACACTCACACTGTGTGTGACACCCACACACCCACACTGTGTGTGTCACCCACACACTCGCACTGTGTGTGTCACCCACACTCACACTGTGTGTGTCACCCACACACTGTGTGTGTCACCCACACACTCACACTGTGTGTGTCACCCACACACTCACACTGTGTGTGTCACCCACACTCTCACACTGTGTGTGTCACCCACACACTCACACTGTGTGTGTCACCCACACACTCACACTGTGTGTGTCACCCACACACTCACACTGTGTGTGTCACCCACACACTCACACTGTGTGTGTCACCCACACTCTCACACTGTGTGTGTCACCCACACACTCACACTGTGTGTGTCACCCACACACTGTGTGTGTCACCCACACACTGTGTGTGTCACCCACACACTCACACACTGTGTGTCACCCACACACTCACACCGTGTGAGTCACCCACACACTCACACTGTGTGTGTCACCCACACACTCACACACTGTGTGTCACCCACACACTCACACTGTGTGTGTCACCCACACACTCACACCGTGTGAGTCACCCACACACCGTGTGTGTCACCCACAC